ATCCAAATACACGTAATAGTAAAATAAAAAAAATCATTTCCCAAAATATTCATAAGGAATTTATAAATTGTGCAAAGTATTTTTAATACATTTTTAAAAAATCTCCCTCTCGCCACTAGGGGGTGCTGCAGCACCCCCAGCACCCCCACTTCCCGCGGCCATGGACGAGCACAAGCTACAGTTCAACACCTTCACACAGTCTGCATGACTGTGTGAAGGTGTTAAAGAGCAGGCCCATGCTGTCATGACCAAGTTGGGCCAGTGATCAACAGAAAGCCAGTTGAGATAAAATCAGTGACCGCAGACATGTGTCCATATGTAAACCTCTACAATATTGAACTAACATGGGAAAAACCACAGTATTTTCCTGGTTTTAGCTTGGCTTGTACCTGCTTGTCAAACTGCATTGCCATCAATACTGAGTTCTGATATCAAACTCTGTAATTTCACTTTAAAAGGAATTTTTTGTAACATTTCAATTTACAGTTCCCACTATGTGACTTCAAAAGCAATATCTATATTTGGTGTTTTTGCTCTACTAAACATTGAGTTCTGTTGACATGGAACAAATATTTTGGGGAGCTGAATCAAACCATAGACGTTGCGATTAAATGGGAACAACATGATTATTGCCACAAACTTACAGTCCACTTACATGAAATTGTACTGGTCTGATTAAAAACTATGGTGGGTCCTTGCTCCAGTTCCCAAAAAAAGCAGGGCAGGGCAATTATTTTTCCATTTTCTGCAGAGGAAACAGCTCTCTGCCTGACTGCGTGAAGGTGTTGATGAGCAGGCCCATGCCGTCATAACCAGCTTGCCAGTGAGCAACAGAAAGCCTCTTGAGATAAAAACAGTGACTGCAGAGGACCCGCCATCACCCCGCTAAACCGGACAGTCCAGTTGGTCCAATTCTCAAATTTCACCTTCCATCAGACACCAAAGTTGGAAAGATGGCCTATTGGGGCACAATGCTCAAGTAAAACAGCTCAAACAATTCTATGACTTCAGGCCTCCAGAGTTTCTTTATGTATTAGTTTAATGAGATCCTTGGAGGGTGAAGCAATCTAATAAAAACTTTCCACAGACTCAAACAGTTAATTTTGCTGACTTTTAGAGATGACCACATTAAGTCTATTTGAAGGTTGTGTAGCTTCTGAATGAGTAAGATGCTCTAGTATAGCTTAGATATTGGTGTAATTGTTATACTGAATATCATATTTGAATTATTGTTCATGTACTCTGGTTATATAAGCTGTCTTATTATTGAACATTTATTTTAGACAACATTAATGGATGATACGTTAAATGTAACATATATAACTCTTAGTGGGCATGTAGAAGTGCACAAATACAGATATCTTTATTTTTTGGTTTTGTTCACAGTATACATTTTAATAATCTGCAGTAATTCTACAATTGTGTATCTTATCTGTAGCCACAAAAACCTCCATGAGCCTATGTACATTTTCATTGCAGCTTTGCTACTGAACTCTGTTGTTTTCAGCACTGCTATTTACCCAAAGCTTCTGATAGACGTTTTATCTGAAAAACAGATCATATCATATCCAGCCTGTCTCTTTCAATTTTTCATGTTTTACTCCATTGGCAGTTCAGAGTTCTTACTGTTGGCAGCCATGGCCTATGACAGGTATGTGTCTATATGTAAACCTCTGCAATATCCAACTATCATGACAAAAACCACAGTGAGTATTTTCCTGGCTTTATCTTGGCTTGTGCCTGCTTGTCATATTGCAATCCCAGCAATACTGAGTGCTGAAACCAAACTGTGTAACTTTACTTTAAAAGCAATATTTTGTAACAATGCAATTTACAGACTCCAGTGTGTACAATCAAAAGTAATTACTATACAGGGTGTGGTTGCTTTATTAGATCTTACAATTTTCCCCATGCTCTTCATCATCTTTACATACACAAGGATACTTATGATATGCTATCGAAGTTGTAGAGAAGTCAGGAAAAAAGCAGCAGAGACCTGTTTACCCCATTTGTTAGTTTTAATCAGTTTCTCCTGTTTGAGTGCATATGATATCGCTATAGCTCGAGTGGAATCAAATCTTCCAAAAACGGCACGATTAATAATGATGTTACAAATTGTTTTGTATCATCCTAACCCACTTATATATGGCCTCAAAATGAAAGAAATTTCTAAACACCTCAAAAGGTTGTTCCGTCCAGCCAAAATCATTTGATGTAAAAACAGTGATTTATAATGTACAGTCATTTCTTCTGAAATAATCATGCAGACAGGTGAATTCTTGGAGTATTTAATGCACGCACTTATTTCCATTACAGACTCTCCACAGGTCCAGTGTATAACATTTAGGAGGAACTATTGTCAGAAATATAATATAATATGAATATATAATATTTATAGGTATGTTTTTATTAGTGTATAATCAACTGAACCTAACATGTAAAGACAACACTG